ATAGGAAATTTCCCCTCTAGAGTTTCTTCCACAGTTATAGATCTCTCATCCCAACTAATGACAATAACCCCCCCGCACACCCTAGAGAAGGTAGGAAGGCCCAATTCCTAAATCTAGACCACCAAACACTACTAATGACCCTCCTATCAATGACCTCCAACTTAGTTTCTTGTAAAATTATAACGTCCGACCCAATTCTCCCCAAAAACTCCTTTATTGAACATCTTTTCCTCCCTGCCCCTAATCTTTTAACATTCCAGCTAACAATTTTCATAACAAAGTATATCTTCCTCCCCTCCTTTTCTACAACTACCATCCTCATAATTTACCTGTGACTCTTTAAGTTTTTTTAACACTCACTCCTTTCATCTTTCTCTCATTTTTAACTTCCTTTTTTTATTTTCCTTTCCTCTTTGATGGAACTAGAGACAAATTCATTTTATGTAAAAAAAAAATTTAACATATCTCATTTCTCCTCATCCGACAAAAAACAGTCATTCTTGTTCCTATCTTCACCTCCCTCCTCTATCCCCTCTTTATTCCCTTCTCCCTCAAAAGTCACCATAGCCCTAGTTGGCTTAGCATTAGAGTTCCCTGGTCCAAAATTATCAGTAGTCAATATCACAAGCATTACTTGGTGGAACATCTAATAAGCCTAAAATTAGTCCACCCAGACAGATGTCCATTCTCCCCATGGACCACCCAACCCTTCTTAGAGGACTACGATACAACCCGGTTTGTAGAAACTAATTGTTTCCCACACCCATCCTTCACAAAAAGAGTCGGTCCCACTCCAGACATCCTCATTTCCTTACTCAATTCTATCCCTGTAACAACACCAGACCTAGAAGAAGAATGGACATTGGCACTCCCTCCCCCAAAAAAGAGAACATTACCAGAAGAAGTATTCCCTCCCCCAGAAAAGAAAAACATCACTAGAAGAAGCACTCCCTCCCCCTAAAAAGAGAACATCGCCAGAAGAAACCATCACTGGAATTTTTTGGGAAATATTACCTTCAAAAGTGCAAGGAACAACATTAGAAATTATCTCAGACTCCTGTTGGAGTACCATCTGACCTTCGTCTTGAGCAGTCATCAACTTATCTTCCGTAAAGATTCTCGCAATATCACCATAAACATCATCAATCTGTATCTACCTGCCATATATCAATATTGCAGCCTATAAAGAATCATTCAAACTCTTCTTCGAATCGGCACTTTCATACCACTCCTTTGCAGCAACCATAGCATCACATCAGCCTTCCTCAACTTTTAAAGCCAAATTCTGTGCAACTCCTCATCCATACTACCGAAACCAACCTCAAATTCTTCCCTCTGATTCTCCCGGTCATCGCAAATTGCCTCTCTAGCTATATCCCCTTTCTAGCAATTTCCTTTGCCCATCATCATCTTTGTATTGGCTATTGATACCCTATCAAAATCTCCACATGCCCACTTCATTTGACTATCATCTTCAGGAACCTTAGCCATCACTTTTCGATTTTGACGCCTTGTCTATGGATAGAAACGCTCCACCAATGTGAGAAAGCTCAAGCGTTCGAGCTCTCCCCCGACAGGCGATGCGAAGTGGACCAGGCTTCCACTGTTCTTTATATATCTAATATCTCTTGAATTAAAATGGCTGAACTTATCAAGCCCATTATTAATAAAATTTCTTTCCAGCCCACTTGCTTCTTTTTTGTCAATCCACTTTCATTTCTTAGCAAGGCCCAGTGTTTGCCAACCCACTTCTTGATCCAACTCCTTTACCTTGTCCTCAATTAACTCGGATTTTGAATTCCAATTACATTCAAATTTGAATAATTGAGTAAGTGGAAGTGTAATACGTAGATTGAGGAGAAATTTTTGTGCTTATCTTGTAGTTGGATGATAGTAATGGTTGAACATTTTTTGGAACTCTCTCCTAAAGAAAGCTTATTTCTCACATCAAATAATTATGATCACCCAAGGTTAGTTTATATACTTGAGGGGCTACTCCACCCATTGTCAATTAGTTTTGAATTGGATGTTGTAACATGGCAACAGAGTTGGGCCTTAGAGTTCCATTTGACAAGTATTTTACCCATTTGAATTTCTTTGTCTACATGGTTGTTTGCTTGTCCCCCATGTGAGCCCGGATCCCACGTGAGGGAGGATATAAAGAGAGCTTGTACCACATTGAATAATTAGAACCACCGAAGGTTGGTTTATATACTCCACTCATTGCCAATTGTTTTTGCGTTGGATGCTTTACTATCTCGGACATTATGAAGAGTCTTGTCTGTTTGTTTTCCTCTTACACATTTGTAGACTTTTCTTTGTATATGTTGCCTGTACATGTATTGAAACCTTTATGGCATTATATAGTGATATTTGACTTAGTTAAAGAATTATGGATGTGGAAGACATTCTAGGAGTGGTGGTGCGGGCTAAGGAAGCATGAATTGATATTGGTTTGTATAAGAAATTGTGTATCTTTCTTTGGCAACTAGAGTAAAGTTGAAGAAGTCACCAATGGTTTCAAATATAGAGGCAAATGGCGACACTGAAAGAGTCACTCTTATGCTTCTATTGTTACAGGCAATTTTTATCTCTCTTTGACCCTTTGGATTCTGGTGCTCTTAAAGGATGCCTTGTAATTCATTAAAATGTCATTAGAGGCTATAATCCAACAAAGGTACTTCCAATGTGGGGTGTTGGCAAGCCTATTGGATACAAACTTAACTTCTCGTAATATTTGCACTTAATGGTTTCTATCATACTGAAACTATGTTGTAATGCTCATACTTGGCTGCTGGATTTTTATTCTTGACCTATGCGACGGAACATCCATTAACACTGTGTTTCTTTTGATGACTTGTCATAATACTTTCTCTCTTCCTCCCTTATGCATGTGTAGTTGTTAATGTGTTAAGATTCTGCATTCGAATCTTATGATCCGGTTTCGATACGATCATACGAAGTAATTTGTCGAATCTTCATTAAGTTGTAACGAACCATTGCAAATCTATTCGATTCACAAGGAAATTGCATAATTTGTGACTATAAATGATTCATGTGATTTAGGAATCAAATGGACTGATAACTTAAAATTTTCAATTATAAATCTGTTTGTTTTCTTCTCTAAGATAAGCTTTTCTAAAGCACCTTTAAGGACTTGAGGACAACTAGGGCATGTTTGGTTATGTTCTGCAAAACAGTTTTTTGTTCTCAAAATTTTAAAAACACCCAAAATTTGTTTGTTTAGCATTTTTGGCTCAAATTTTTTGAAAAAAATGAGATTTGAAACAAAGAAATAGAAAATAAGCTACACTTGTTTTTAGACTTTTCTTTAAAAATTATGGAAACACGGAGAACACCTCTTTAATGAGGTCTGCCCTTCGAGTTTCCTTAGCTGCAAGGCTTCCTCTCTTTTTTTTCTTCCTCTCTGCCTCTCTCCACTTTGCCCATCAAACAGAATGAAGACACACACAGACAGAACGAGTAGAGAACGAAGACGATCAGAGAGCAAGCTCTCTCTCTCTGTCTCTCTCTCCACGTTGCCTCTCAGACAAAACGAGCAGAGAGGAAGCTTCAAATCTTCTCCAGCATTATAAGTCAGTGTTTCAGTGGTGGTTGTGGGTTTTGGTGGTGCTTTGTGGGTTTTGATGGTGGTTGTGAGTTTTGGTAGTGGTTGTGAGTTTTGGTGATGATTGTGGTTTCAGTGCTTTGTGGGTTTCGGTGGTGCTCGGTGCTTTGTGGGTCTTGATGCAAAATGAAAGAGAGAGAGACAGAGAGTTGAAGAAGACGGGTCTTGGTTGCTTGTTTCGGTGGTTGTGGAAATTGTGGATTATTGTCTAAATAAATTTTATAATTTTTGTTCTTTAAAATTATTTTCAAAAATATATAACTAAACAGGTCTTGCAATCTAAATTTTTAAAAACACTTTCTTAAAACTCTTCCCAATAGTTTTTAGATATTGTTTTTTGAAATGCAAACCAAACAGGCCCTTATTGTTTGTATCTTCTCTGTCTCTTTTCTTTTAATATTATTATTTACAAAATATTTGTTTAATAGCCAAATATTTGATCTTGCTCTCTCTCTATAAATCCATCGTTTACCCTGCTTCCTCCTTTTTAAACCAACATATGTATTACTTGTCAAGGGAGTTTGTTTTCCCCCGATATTACAAGGATAAATGTTTCCTCAATGAAAGAGATGTGGAGTGATGATCCCATTTTTTTAATTTTATGTTGTTCAGATGTAAATCAATAATATGATTCCTGATTCAAGTCGAGTCAATTCTATTCTCATTTTGGAAAGTAAGGATTTTAATTCACCATACAAAGTTATATCTTAATACATGTCTATATATACACATACCTTTTTAACTTTTTCTTGAAGGATGAAATTGGTGTTGCTTTGTTAGTTTTCTAGGAATTGGCCATTTTCAGTTGTATGCTGTCATGCATGTTGGGAGTTTCCATCATATTGTAACTTCCAATATCTGTAAGGAAAGAAATATCACCTTCTGAACAATAGCCTGTGGTTATCATGGAGACACTAGAGTCTATTTTTAATGAGCTGTGGTGTTTAGGATTGAACTTTTAGCTCATCCCATGGTGCAAAAACTTCTTTCATTTTGTTTTTGTTGTTAGACAAGGCTTTGATTAATGTCTCCCCATTTATGTTTGCTCATCAATTGGTTAGTAGCTTCTGGTAATATTTATATCCTTGTTTCTTCACATGTGAGTGGGAAAATTGAGTGGAGGGATTTGTGAACTTCATTCACATTGTTGCACCCATTCTCTAACAATTTCTGCTTTTAGAGGAATTGGTTTCCTACTATCCTAATGGTTATTTCTGACAAAATATGCGTTAAAGTTTTGTGTAATGCTTAAATATAGTTTTATTCTCTTGTTGGTTGGCAGAGATATAGTGAATTAAGCAAGCAAAGACTTGATCGGGCAATTCTCACTTTCTTTCAGCACTTTAGAAAGTCTTATGTAGGTGATCAGGCCATGCATTCTTCTAAGGTAATGAGATGATTCTTCTTGCCTTGTTTAGGAGGTTAGTTGTTATTGTATACGGCATACCTTGAGGCTTCGTCTTTATGTTGCAGCAGTTATATGCCCGATTGTCTGAGCTTCTTGGACTTCACGATCATCTTTTGTTGTTGAATGTGATTGTTGCAAAAATAGCTACTAATCTCAAGTGTTATGCGGAGGTAGTTAGGTTTATATTTGCTTGTTAATTATCTTGTTATGTGAGTTTCGATTATATCTAAATGTGTTCTTACATGCAGAGTGAGGAGGTTATAGATCACACCTTAAGTCTGTTCTTGGATCTGGCTTCTGGGTTAGTTCGATGACATCTTTCTTGAGTAGATAACAAGAATTATTTGTATCTTGGTGAAGAAACTTTACAGACATCCTTCTTTGGCAGTTAATTTGGAACAACTGTATTTTTTTTCCGTGCAGATATATGACGGGAAAGCTACTTCTGAAATTGGATACTATCAAATTTATAGTTGCACATCATACTGTAATGCATTGCTGATATGTTCTACTTTTGCTCTTTGTTAGCTTTTAATTTGATTGTCAATACCTCTATGTTCCCCTGATATATAAAAAATTGATGTCTTGGATTATTGAATTCAGAGGGAGCACTTCCCATTTTTGGAAGTGTATAGATGCTCTCGCAGCCGGACAACTTTCTACTACACTATTGGATGGTTAATCTTTATGGAGGATAGCCCAGTGAAGTTTAAGTCTTCAATGGATCCACTTTTGCAGGTATGGTCTCTTTCCTTTCTGTGTGAGTTTGTTTATTTGTTTGTTGCATGTCTGTATGTGCACTCAATTTGTGTCCTAAATCGTATTTTGCCATGAGGGTGGACCTTAGTGCATTGGTCAGATTGCTTCATTGTGACTTGCGTGGCAAGGGTTAGATTCCAAATTTCGTTTTGGTGCATCGTTTCGGTCATGTAGGAAATGGAAACGTTTTGGAAATATTTGTAATACATGTCGGAAACATTTCCAAAATAGAATGGAAATGGAGAAATGAATTGTAATTTGTTTGTGAAGCATTGGTCGAAACATTCCGAAACACTTCTACATATTGGGATTCCATATTCAAATCACTTAATCGTTTCAGCTTCCACGAAAATGACAGCATTTCGACTGTTTTGAATCAAAATTTAGAATCATTGGTTGGAGTCACCAAAACTATCCCTCTGAATGCGTACATTTGACTTTCCCTAGATGCCGCAGTGGTGAGAGGCTTGTGCACTTGGTTGCCTTTTTAATCATGTTATGTTGTGATTTTTTTTGTTCTATGGTCTATGAACAAAGTCATAGTTCTTCCATCAAACTATCTTTCTAGTTTCAAATCAATATTTTGATGGTATTTTTGTTTCAGTAGGAAGCACAATTCATAGAAGCAATTACCTGTATGCAATTGATGAGTATGCTTTGCTCTACTGAGAGAGCAGCTCAATGCTACAGAAACTGGTTTTTGAGCAGGATTTTATTTTGTTTCCAGTTTCAAGGAAACAGAATGACAAAATGTTCCCAAACTGGAGAGATTGGAGAACAGCATCTAGAAAAGAAAAGGAGAGCGTACATTATAGAATGAAAGTTTGTGACAGCAGTTTATCCATGTTTCATCCCTTTTTTCCAACTCTGGGAGCCCTTCTCTTGCAAAATTTTTCATATTACTGAGTTTTCTCTTCAAAGCATGATAGTTTTTTTGATGATTATTACTACTTTTTGGAAGCTTGTTTTTGAACCAGTCAATTATGTGCCCCTGACAATCTGAAGGGAGCTGATTTTCTTTACCATCCTTACATTGTGCTTTAGGTGGTATTTTATGTAATATTGGGTGTGCTTTAGGTTTTCATCAGTTTGGAATCGACACCTGATGCAATGTTTCGAACTGATTCTGTGAAATATGCATTAATTGGGTTGATGAGGGATCTTAGAGGAATTGCAATGGCCACAAATAGGTTGGTATATGGCCATCTATAAATGAGTACTTGTTAATGAAGAATTTTACTTGTGTTCATATAACCTTTTTGATGTCTTCCAGTCGCAGAACTTACGGGCTTCTATTTGATTGGTTATATCCTGCACACATGCCGATTCTTTTAAAAGGCATCTCTCATTGGGCAGATACACCAGAGGTTAGATGCCATGCTGAATTCTCCATCGCTTGAGAAAATCTTTTTGGTGTATTGGCATTGTGGTTACATTCTTATCACTGTGTGTTTGCTGTGTGAATAAATTGCTCAGGTTACAACCCCATTGTTGAAATTTATGGCTGAGTTTGTGTTAAACAAAGCTCAGCGCTTGACGTTTGACTCTTCTTCTCCTAATGGTATACTTCTTTTCCGAGAAGTCAGCAAATTACTTGTTGCATATGGGTCAAGGATTTTCTCTCTCCCAAATGCTGCTGATATTTATGCCTTCAAATACAAGGGAATCTGGATAGCTTTAACTATTCTTTCAAGAGGTGAAGTATCAACCAATGTTTACTTTAAAATCTTTTGCGGGTTTATCTGCTCCGACTAATAAAGCCTAATTGGTTCCATGAATTTTGATGCTTGTGTATTTGTAATCTGATTCATATTTGTACAATTTATATGCCACTTTATTTGGTGATAAAATATAGTGTGTCACATGTATTTTGGCCATTTTCAATGTTCTTTAGACTTGTTGCGCCATGAAGTCCAATCCTAGAATTTTGTTTTTGTAATATTCCCATTTTATTCGGTTTATGAATTTTGTGGTGTTCCATGGTGTGTGGAGTTCCATGTATATGTTATTTGCTGACAATATGCTATTGATTGATAAAACTAAAGTATGAGTTGACCCAAAATTAGAAGTTAGGAAGCTTTAGAACTGAAATTGTTTAAGATACATAAACGAGCATAACATACATGGATGTAATTTTAGTAAAAATGAAAAGGCAATTGGAAGATATTAAAGATTCAAGATAAAAAGATACCGAAAAGTGATCAAGTTCTATATGTGGGTTCCATTATTGACAAGAGGGGAGATTGGGAATAATGCTAGTTATAGCATTCAAGCATGATGAATTAAGTAGAGGAGTGCACTTCGTGTATTTTGTGATCAACATCTAACTCTTTTGTTGAAAGCTAAATTTCATAAAAATGTAAAGAGAGCTTGTATCCTACATCGAACGATTTGGACAATCCAAGTTTGGCTTATATACTTAAGGGACCTTTTTACTCATTGTTCGTTGTTTTACTTGGATGATTACTGGACGAAGTCTCTTCCATACTCATTTGAATTTTCTAGTATGCATCCTTGTTTGATTTTTTTGTTAGTTGTCCTTTGTGTAAGAGAACTTCTATCTCACCTCAAATTTCATGACCATCCAATGCTAATTTATAAGACTGAGGAGCCTCTCTGCTCTTTGCCAGTGAGTTGGATGCTTTAACAATTACAACCATATGCCTAACCATGCTTCATGTTGTATGATATTTAGGGAGGGAGGATATTCTTGACGGTGGACTGCAATAGTCAGACGTAAGTTGATAGAGAATTTATAGTGGTGGGGTGGATATTTTCGTGACAGTAGAAGAGTGATGTGATACCCCTATAAATGGTACGTGAGAGGTAGTGACAGGCCAAAATAAATGTCAAATGAGATGGTAAAAAAATATGTGAGCTTGTGGTTTAACAAACAATATAATTTTATAGAAGCACAATGGCGGAACAAGTTTGATGTGGTTGATCTCAAAGTGTTGGGAATAGATTTTTTGAGGTGATTTATCAATTTTGTTGAATATTTTATGTACTGTTATTCACTTTTGAATATCACAAGCTTTGAGGTGAATTAGTTATCTGCTTGGAAAAAGATAAACAATAAATATTATGAAAATTCTAATCTAAAAATATATATATATATATATATATATATATATATATATATATATATATATATATATAATGGTCATACAAAAATATAAGAAATAAATACAAGATGGAACGAAGTTAAGTGGAAAAAGTTCTCCAAGTAGTCCGTTGGTGAAGGTGGATTCTTCCTCCTTCTCAAATTGCACCTTTATGATCTCGACAACGTTGCCAAAAACTTACTTGATTCCCAAAAGGTATATCCATGTAGGCGGTCAAGAAGTAATAATTTCTTAGGAGTGCGAGGTCGAACCACATGGATTAAAGAGAATTTATGAATAAGGTAGAGTTAGAACATGCTTGATTTTGGTAAAGGTTAAATTTGAGTTGGAGAAGCAATTGTAAATAAAATAAAGGTAAATATCTATTGGAAGACTCGTTAGCTTCGAGATCTAGATTTGTTCATGTTCATCGGATAATTATATTGTAATTAGCTCAGTTGATTTTCAAATCAATGTAGTCAACCAACAAATATAACTTTAGAACAATTAATTTGATTAATATTGAAATAAGAATTGAAAAACTAGTTTTATAAAACTTGCAGAGAACATAAGAATTGAATGTACCAAAAACTATTTTTTTAATAGACAGTCAAATAATTGCACAGAGTATAAAACTTTATTAGAATATTCGATCAACCTTGATGAAATAAAGATTTAACATTAAAATTAAGAAAAGAATTGGATAATATAAATATCCAAATAAACAATTACTAATCCATATCCTAGGCTAAAGAGTATAAAGAGAACTACTACTGGCCATGGGTAGATCTTAGAAAAAATAAAGAAAGATGTAAAAGATGGGATTTAGAATCATGCCTCTTAAAAGAAAGAGCCTATATTTATACTAGGGAAGTTAGGGTTGGCCTTGGAATAAGTCTTCGCAAAAAAAAAAAGAAAAGTACATTTAGGTTAGAACTTGTACATCATATCCTAGGGGTGCGTCCCAATGCAGATACCGTATTTGCTCAAACTTTGAAGCTCGATTTTGACATAATTAGAGGTTGATTCATGAAATTTTCATGAAATACACTTTCGTAGCTCTTGAAGTGTCTTTCCAATGCCACAAAAATCAGGTCAATCCGATATTGGAGTCAAAAGTTATGGTCAAATTACTGAAGACGTGTCAAAACCTTATCTTCTAGAATAATTTCCTAATTCAATTCTAAATGAGTTTCTTACTAATTTGGACTCCCACAAAGCTTATATTGCCTAATCATCTTCAAATCTTTATCTTTTAATCTTGACCTTTCAATCCTCTAGGCTTCCGGATGAATTGGTTGGGATTAAATCTCCTATAAAAGAGAATAACATAATAAGTACGTTTTTTTACCAATTGAATCAAATCAAGACTAACGAGATGAAAATATTAAAACTCATTTAAAATGCAACAATATGCTTAAAAGAAGTGCAATAATACTTATCTAAACCAATAGAATAATGTGATTTCCAATCATTATCATTTTCCTATTGGAATTAGAAGTTATGGTTTTGCTTTGTCAAATGGTTTTACATCATCTTTTCCATCACCAACTTCTTTTTAGCTACAATAAAGCAATCTTCGTCGCTTCTATTTTTTTTAGTGATAGAAATTTGAGTCATTGGCCTCTTGCTCGCTTTCACTTTCTCCATGAAGTAGTGTTGTACTTCTGCACAAATAACCTTATCTTGCATTGGAGTGTTTCTTTGTGCGATGCCCCTGTGAATATTTTCCTTGACAATATGGTGTAACTAATGCACGCACACAAAATTTCTAGGTTTTTTTAAATATCCTCTAATTAAGATGTGATGCTTTAATTTAATACGTTTTCCTTTCTGTAGTACATTCACCAAAGGTGTGCAAAATATAGTAGAATGATTTCTTTAGCTTATATGCAACAAATGTGGAATTAACCTATGGTAGCTTCTGTTCCATTATATCAGGTTAAATATATAGGAACAAGTTGCTTACTCTAAATAAATGTGTTATTTACTAAATTTTGAGTAATTTGCTTCCAAATGACAGCTCTTGCTGGAAACTATGTGAACTTTGGTGTGTTTGACCTATATGGTGATAGAGCACTTGCTGATGCACTGGATATCGCTCTGAAGATGACACTTTCAATTCCGCTGTCCGATATATTGGCTTATAGGAAGGTAACTATCTCTCTTGGCTGCAGTTAACTTGAGCACAAATGTTAAATCTGGATATCATTATGGATATGTTTGTGGAACCTATCATAGCATGTGATTGTTGCTTCTTTCTCTTATTTTGTTTTATTGATTTCTGGTGAGGTTTATCTTGCATTACTAGCTTTTGCTTTAAATTTCAAGGCTGTTATTGACAGGAATATACATTATTATCTTGACATCAAGTTTATGTCCTATTCCATTGCTTCTCCTCCTCCTCCTCCTCTTCCTCCACTTCTAATTTTTAGCTCTTATGGATAATGTTTTGGGTGGAAGATTTGAGTGTTTCCAAAATTTGAACAGTGCTACACTTGTCAAAATAAATTTATTTTTTTTGACAGTGCTCTGCAAGGGGCTAATGTATGGAGCATGAATTTTCAACTTATGAATGATGATAGTCAATAATTACCAACATCCAATGGATACTGGTATAACAAGGACACAGCATATTGGACATATGTATGTTCATGTAACTGACAATATAGTGATGGCACTACCATATATCAACTCTGGTGATTAGACCTTGATATTTTTTGTATCAAACACAGATACGACTTCTTAGATATGTCTGTCTTTAGGGTATAACTTGAATGCCAATTTGAGCATCATGTTCGTTGATTGTAGTAGAAATTTTAAGGTTGGATTTCAACTTGTTAGCAGTGGTAGCTTTCTTCTTGCATATGTCTGTTTTTAGGTTGGTTACTTGAATGTCAATTTGAGCATCAGCTTTGTTGATTGTTATCAAACTTTTAAGGTTCGATTACAACTGCCAATGCTTTCTATTTTTTTTTTTTTTTTTTTTATAACCTTTTTTTATAGAAATTTAATCATTGTAAAGCAAAGAAGGTGGCCATGTTCTCCCTATAGAACTGTTCTCATCTCAAAGATAACACTATATCCAACTTAGTGGATTATCGCTACGAATCACAGACATAGATAAGACTTGATATGGACACTATATTTTTTTAAAAAGTAGGACATAGACATGTTGGGGACACGCTGGTGTATGCAATATATTTATATGACTATGACTCTTATGAGTTTAGTAAGTTGGCCCAGAATAAATGTTATAAATTGTGTGCAACACATGAACAGCACACATGCAAAACTATGATAAATTAGATAAGGATAATATATCTAAGATCACCAATCGACACATATAGTAAAAGGCAAGGACTTTTTTTTTGAGAAAGTTGGGAAGCTTCTTGATACAATACAAACGTCCAACGATTCAATTTCTCTATATCTGTCTCCCAAATCTCTGCATCTTTGCAACTTTCTGTCTCTCTTCCCATCACTCCCCCTCTCTAAGTCCCCCAATCTACAACATAACAAGTATGCTTCACTTCCTCCACAAATGAATCTTGTTGGAAATTCCTAAAAACGGTGCATGGTGTTTGTTTATTGTCTGGGTCTTCTTCATATTGTGCGTCTCTGCTTCTCTGCAGCTGCTTTCTACCATTGCTTGTTTGCCGTTGCATCTTTTTTCTTTTATTGGTATATGATGTTCCTTGCTTTGTTGGATTCTACAAAACAAAATCACAATATAGTGAGTACTTTCCCCATATTGAAAATTGCTCCCAACATTTTTGGAAGCATTCCAAACGTCTCCATTTATGCAAATATAAAAAATAAAAATAAAATCAGAAACTTATGGTTATGTATATGACACCTGTCCGGGCTGTCATTGGGCAAATTAGTGTGTAAGTGTTTCATGGATCTTGAACGTTGAAAATTGAGATTATAATGGCATATGCAATCTCTTTGAAAATCTTCTACGCTAAATTTCTTCTATATTGATCAGATCAGGTGCGAATTGTGACATTGCCTATATACGCCTTTCCCTGATGAATTAGCTAAATAAAGTCTCTCCATTTCATAGTCCTACGTGGAAGGGAAATCTTTGTTTATTCACTTGAATAAGTGTCTATTTTTCATAACGGTACGTGTAAGGGAAATAGTTGTCCTAAAAAGCTCGAGTAAATCATAGCAAGTCAATGCCTTAAAGAGGAGGCTTGTTAGCATATTAGATTTGGATCGGATTAGATCGTGGTTGATCCCAATCCAAATTCAAAAAAAAAAAAAAAAACATGTGTGTTAAACCTGATCTATATTTATGACGGATGTC